AAAAAAAAAAAAAAAAAAAAAAAAAAAAAAAGAAAAAAAAGAAAAAAGAAAAGTCATGCCAAAGCAAAGAGCCGAAAGTCGCGCGTTCACGTGTGCTCGTTTATACTCCGAGAATAATAAATCCTCCACTCGAGCGTACAGAGGGACTTGATGGGCTCTTGTTATGCATGGAACGAAAAAAAAAGTGCAAATAATTTTCTCGCAGCATCAGCCGATCGATGATTGCTCCGCGAGTGCACGTTAGAAATCTCCCACCCGGAAATCTCTCGCACCCGCGTGCCTCAAATCGATAAGCCTACATATATGTACGTACACTGCATGGCCGTATCCTCCCCTCTGACTGACCCTGACGGTATATTATATGTGTATGTATATATAGTATGTATACTCAGATCACAGATGTACAGCGAAAAACTACGAGAACTTTCTCTGGAGAGAGTTTCGGGTGATCAGTAATACTTTTTTTTTTTTTTTTTTTTTTCGTAGAAAAAACCAAATCAAATTAATTGCGTAGGTACTGCTTTGAGAACAGGACGAACAATTCCATCTTGGGTAAAATTTACCGCAACGGCAAGGCTTGAACATTTAAGAGTAAGGCGTGATCCGCGTGTAAATTATACGATATAAAAGTCATCTTATCTCTCACACTCTTTAAGCTCAATATCCCGCTTGTAGGTACCATATTATTATGCAGTAGCGCGAATAGATGTAGAGAAATAGAAAGAGGGGGGGGGGGGTGAGAAAATCGACACCACAGCCCGGCTGTTGTACGCAGAGGATCTTACGATGGATACATGGCTGATGTATATATACTTACAATATATTAAGATATTCGTGTGGCTTACCCCTACAAGAGCCTTTTCTCGATGACGACCCCATTAATTTCTATATACTCTTGTTGCACTCATCTCATGTGAGTACATGTACTTTTGATAAACAATGTGCGCGTACACACACATAGGTATACGAAAAAACATGAAGAAACAATGTCGACGAAGGTATAAAATCCGAAGTGTGAAAAAAAAAAAAAAAAAAGGTATTCCACACCGAGCCCGGACCGAGCACGTGAACAACACGCCAACAAGTAGGTATATGGCGGTATCTCATATACACTTGTACGCACAAAAGTAGAAACGCAAGCGCGCAACCCATGCGTGCTCATGCAGGGTGCACATGTATAGGGGATATACTAGGGCTTGCACGGGAATCCGCGAAAGGGGGTTGCGATGATAAGGATACACACGGACCCAAATCTTGATGTATATCGTGCGTATAAATGACTTGCAACCCTCGAGTGTGGGTGTGTATATATTATACATTATGTGAACGGATGAAAATCCGATGGTCCCCCGCGGAGAGAGAGACGCCTTGCGAACGCACACCCCAACGGGAATTCCTTCGACTTTGGCGTCCGCACGCGCGCGCAAGGATATCCTTCTCTCTCTCTCTCTCTCTCGCCCCTCTCCCTGATGTATGTGGGTGTGTGTGGTGGTCTCTCTGGTGCTTCCTTTTTACACAAGTATTGAATTTGCTACGAAATGCCGGCTCAGCCACCCCCGCCCCCTCCTCTGCTGCTGTGCCCACATGGACCGGCCGACCGTGTGCTCTTGAGGGAGAGAAAAAAAAGAAGTTTTCTCCTAAAGCTGTTCTCTTTTTTCTTTCTTTCTTTTTTTATACACATGCAACTCATGAGAGCGCTTTTTCTTTTTTGCTTCCTTGCGAAAATCGTCAAGATGGATTTGAGACTTTTTGATTGGGTTTTCTACGAAAAAAAAAAAAAATAAATAAATAAATAAAGTACGGCTTACAATGTCGATTTGTTGGGGCAATGACAAATGTGGTTTCGATGTGTAAATGTCAGCTTCCCCTTTCGCATCTAAAAAGGGGAAAAATTCGTATTTCCCGAAAGCCGAGTTTTGCGACTAATCAAATCGTCCCCAATTTATTATTTCCACCTTACTGCGCTACACTGGCGTTATTTACCATTTTTGTCCTGGAAAGTTTTCGCGGGGCGTTGAATATTTCACCTACAAGATATATCCATGTGTTGAAAAAAAAAAAAAAAAAAAAACCTCTTACGAGGCAAATCGATGTCACATGTATATGTACAATTTTACGAGTGCGGCTCCGTAAATTTTTCAATTGGTGAGAGTATATAAGTATACATGCAAAAGCTGTTTTATTCGTTCGATTTGAGAGTTAAAACGAACACCTCCAAGTGGATGAATCATCTGATTGAAACTTAATTATCGGTTATGTATACGTGAATACACTCGAAAGGGGATTCCGATCGAATCGTTGCTTGCATACAAGTATCGCTTGGCAAACAATGCATCCAAAGGCTTTTCTCCAAGTTGACGATTTTGATGTTTCGTCACGACTTAACCGAAGGAGTGTATATTCGCGCCAAATATGTACTCGAGAGGCAAACAGTTGACTTGGTTTTTTTTTTGTTTTTTTTTTTTTTTTCATATTGGCTTTAATTGTTTCGCACACCAGATTAGCGATGACCATTGTAGATAGGTGCAGGTCGAAAAAAAGAAAACTGGGAGTTTGTAATTGAATTTTTTTTTTTAACGTGACCTTCATACGCATCATAAATGGAAAGATCGAAGAAAATCAAAACTTGTACCGATTGCAAAGTGTTGCAATAAGGAGGGCCTTAAAAATTACAGCTTGAAGTCAATGCACACGTATCTTACTCACTATATTTTTCAGCTTTTCTCGAGAATTGTAATTAATTACACGCTATTGTTCTCTGAAAGCTCCGAGGAAGAAAGAGCGTAATTTAAACGTCCAATAAGAGGCATTGAAAAAATTTAGTACCCACACGATTTGGGCCAACTGACGCAATAAGCGTCCATGTTAATAAGTGTATACTGCACGAGGAACATCACACGTTGGAGCGACTTTTTTTTTTTTTTTTTTTTTTATTCGTGCGTCATTAAACATCTTTAATCACACGATACAAAGTAAAGATCAATGAGTGTCAAAGCTCATGTTCGCACATGCATAAGTATACAATATACAAGAGGAGAAAGTCAGCACGCAAACTCTCGCGTCTTTTGCACGCTTCGATTGAATTTTGACAATTCCCCGACGAGCTTTACTTATTCGGCTCGCGTATATACAGCGTCAGGAAACACATACGTGGGTGTATACATGTATGTACATCTAGTGCAGGGCGGCAAAACAGAATTGCGTAACCCGTAATGTCTTTCTTCATTTTAGCCGTATCGATCTCTCTATGCTCGTTCTCCTTGTCACCGTGTGTTATTGCTTGTTTGATAAATGAAAGAAAGAAAAAAAAAAAAAAAAAACAAGATAAAAATTCGCGATTAATATATAGTTATGTATATGTGGAGGTTCGCGTGATTTCGCCGAGTTACCTTGTACTCGATTTTTTGGAACGTGAAGAACAAACACTCTTGGGTGCTGTCTAAAGTTAGTTTACCCTTTGCGCCCAAGTACATATATAAATCATTCATAATTTTATTTCATCGTAATAATACCATGCGTAGGAACGTCGCTATACCTGTAAAATTGTACATTGAATAAATGTACAATTGCGCCAGTATGCCTCATTATTTATCGACGAGTTGAAAAGGCATTTATTTTTTAAGCGCCTCTTGTTTCTGCATCAATTTGCATGCGATTAGGATTACTGCCTGCAACAGAGCCCCCCCCTCCCCCCCAAAGCTCGTCAAAGAAAAAATCGAAAGGAATTATAGTCACGAACAATAATCATCGTCGTCGACTCTCCTTTCTTCTCGTTAATCCGCTCGCAACGGACCAACGAGCGAACCAAAACTTATCTAACGAACTTAAAAAGTCACCATCGAGGATAAGAAGGAACACGCGCAAACCATTGCATACACGTATGCGTATATAGTCTTCCCTCCCACCTTGCGATGTGTGTTAAAATGACGAAAGTTACGAGGCCACGTACCTACATACGTAAAATAAAAATGCGCGAATTTTCAATGAAACGAATCAACGTGACCGCGTATTATAACTACAGAAAGTTTGTCGTGTATTATACTCACCACTCGTATCGTCATCTCGTCGTAATATCTGATGACAGGCAATTGCACCCCTTTGCGATGATATTGTTCTTGTAATCTAGTGCACACTACTGTACTACAGAATGTTAGACTGTCCTCTTTCTCAAGTTGCAATTAGTATGAGATCTCGTGGTGAAAGAGAAGGCAGAGGTGGCCACGAGCCCGGTTCGGAGCCGCTACTAAAAGTCGACTGTCTGATACTTGTACACCTACCCTCCAGTCGACGCGTCGCCGACCTCACTTCTTCCACGGATTTATTGATCGCCGATGCGCGCGTTTATTTGTCCGTTTTACTGCCCTCTCGGCGACTCTACTCGCACGTATGGCATTGATATAATTATGCGAATGCCGCTACTTGCGTTGCGGCTGTTGATGCGGTATTGCAAATTTTCGATTCTTTGTAGATTTCAATGGGGTTGAAATTTAAGTTTTTTTTGTTTTTTTGTTTTTTGGGACAAACATTCGGGTAGGCTTGGATGATCAACGATTCCTTTTGAAGAGGATTTTTTTTTTGTATTTTGAAAGTAATGACATAATTAACTGGAAATATGTCTACAAATCACATATCTCAAATTGAAATGAAGACTTGAATATCACCCCATGAGTTTGGAAAAAAAAAAAAAAATTATGAAATTCAAGCTGTACTTGAGAAATTAAAAATTAAAAATTAGAAAAAACAGACCTTTGTTGACAAATGCATTGCTTTTAGTTTGAAACTTTATTCATTCACTTCAACTGCTCTATAATATATAATTTTATGTACAAGAATCGCCCTGAAAACAAGAAATAATCGCGATATTTTTGATAAATATATTGAAGAAATGTGTTATAAATCTTAGCTATATGTTGCTCTCATTGAATGTGATGTACTAGGGCTGATTATTAATCACTTGCTTCCCACCGTTTTTTCTCTGCAATTTCGGCTTCAACTTCATCAATGTACGGCTGAAGGTATTTAACATCCTACAAAAATAAATTGCACTTGGTAAACATGGCAGACACAACAGGCAGTGATTTTGATCTCAAAGGTTAAAAAATCCGCTACACTGAATAACTTTCTTAACAAGTTAATATTTGTATGTAAATTAATAATACATGAATATCAAACTTGCCTCCTCTAGTTTGGTCCACTGTTCTTTGGGCAGGATGTCATTTCTCAGGCTCAAATAACCAGCGCGAACAATTCGAAATACACGTTCATCCTGGAGGTGCTGGGGCAATCTTCGCAGAGCTTCCTTCACGACTTCAGTCTCATGAATACAATCATCACGCATAAGACCTACACAAATTCCAAATTTTACACAATAATCGACGTCAAGGTTAAGTTTCCTACAAGTTGTCAACAAAGCAATGCCCATCCCTTTGACAATAATCAAGAATACGTAGACTTACCATACTGATTGAATCCAGATTTGTTGTAGAACCATTGCTGAAAGTTAGGGCCTGCAAAGAGTAACAAAAACAATTTTAATTAAATACACTGATCATGCAAGTAGGTATCAAAGTCACAACGTTATGTAAGGCAAAGTCTGAAGTTGGAGAGCAGACGTTTTTCTAGTTGTAAATAAAGGTGCAAGCTCATCATGGGCATCTTAGTGGTTGTAAAGAAAAAACTCACCGATTAGTTTGTTCGGCGGCTGATCGATGATGTTTGGCCTCTCGCTGAATTGTCGCGCGACCTGCATGAACGCCCTACGCATCATCTTTAGTCCTTTTGAAGGATCAAAGTGACGACGACGATGCTCTTTTTCACCTTCTCTTCGGGATCCTAAATAATATGTCTATATTGCGTCTCGTTGTGTGGGTGAGTTTTTGCGCCGTGTTGTCTGCTCGTCTGCTCCTGCTGTGCTTGTGCGCTGCCAAGTTAGTATTCTACCCTTATCTTCTTCGTCGGTCAAACAGAAACCTTTTTTAGCACGTACCTTATCATCGGTTGGTGTTTTTTAGTTGTTTATTTGCGTTTGTTATAATTTTTTTTACATCAAAAACTGTACTTATTATCTTTAAACAAAATGGACAATGCTCTACAAATTGTGTTTGTTGTGCTCTCTGGGTCTCTGGGTGCAAAAAAATATAGAAAAATTGCGAACAGAAAATGACCACAGTGCGCATGCGTTTTGGAATATTTGAACTTAACTTCCGTTGGCTACGAAAACTGCACATCGGAAAATATATATTTCTTAATAAATAGTAATCATTATTCCTGGAAAATAAAATAAAAAACGAGTGTTGAACAAAAAAATATACCGTTTTATGAGCTGAGGGTGCGATAATGCAATCAAAATCATGTAAAAACTGCTAACATACGGCGAGTATTTCGCGAGAGGGAAAGTATAGTCTAGTAGTCAGCGAAGACGATTGTGGCGCGCGATAGTTAACACACTCTCACAAGAGTCGCCGTGGTGGGAGAGCCGAGGTTATAAAAGGCTTCGCTCCGACTCCACTTCCTTCAGAGTAGAGTTGCCTCCAGTGAGGTTGTGTCCCCTTTTTAATAAAAAAATAGGTCACACAACCCACCGCTATAACCGTGAATTAACTCTCCGTGTAAATATAAAAAAAAAATAAAAAAAAATTTAAAAAAATTACAAAAAATCAACCAAAAAAATCGTAAAACGTGACTAAGAAAATCAGTGGAAAGTGTGAGAAGAGCAAGCATCGTCAATAAGATCTAAAGCGAATAGAGGAAGATTGGATTGAAAAGACACAGCTTGGAGAAAAAAAAGTAACGCAGTCGGAAACGTTTAATATTCCCTAAAACGTATCCTCGAGTAGGTAAACCATATGCTATTCGTTTTTTTTACCTACGTGTAATTCGTCCCCTCCCCCGTCTCTTCATACATCCAACTATCTTTCCAGCTTGCATTTCTCAACAAATGTCGAACGCCAGCGCGCATCGACATGTCTCTCTCTTTAGGCCACATACTCTCTCTGGTGGTGGATACACTTTCATAACCTCACCTTTTCATTTGTCTTTGCAAAATTTGAAAAAACAAAAGAGAGAAAAAGAAAGGGGGACTTGATAAACAACGAAATATCTACTTTATCATTTTTTTTCTAGATATTATCAAGAAATAACAGAAAACAAACAACGTAAAAAAAAAAACAGAAAAACAATCGAAACAAGTTAAACTCCTCCCCCCAAAAAAAAGGAAAAATCAACATAAGATTACCAATTAAGGTAAACTAAAAAAGAGAAAAAAGAGAAAACAAGAAAAAGAAATCAAGATGAATCCTGGAGCGCCAAATTACCCGATGGCCTCGCTCTACGTGGGCGACCTTCACTCCGACATCACCGAGGCTATGCTGTTTGAAAAGTTTTCGTCGGCTGGACCTGTACTTTCCATCCGCGTGTGTCGTGACGCCGTCACCAGACGTTCCCTCGGATACGCCTACGTCAACTTCCAGCAGCCCGCTGATGGTGAGTTTTTAATTTTATCGTTATTTTCATTTTTATTCATCAAGTAACGATCATGTACGTTATCTCTGATTCAGAGGTATATCAGAACAGCATAAAAATTCTGTGTAATTCCAATGATTCATCGAATTCTCAGAGATCAGTTACAAGATGTTACACTTTAAATTTCTCTTAAAACTAGACAATACCACGTGCTCACATATCCAAGAAACGTCAAGCTTTAGTCCTCGGCAGTCTGTGTAGTGCCTGTAGTAATTTCTTCGGAAAAAAAAAAATTACATAAATAAAGTAAATTTTTGTTTCCTGGATACAGCCCAAAGCCACTTACATTTTTCACACAGGGATATTCGACACGTGCTCATACATGCCCGCCATCTTGAAAATTCTTCCTTTTGCACGATGCGCATGCATGTGCGCTCTCTTTCGCTGCTCTTGTATCTTTTGCCCCCTCTCACTTGCTCCAACGATGCTTATCGAATTTATTATATACGCGTTTCTGTTTTGATATGGGTCCTTATGAAATGACATTGAAATCCTGAAAATTTGCACCTAAATGTTTTGTACATGTTCTAAGCGACCATGTAAACAAAGATAGTTTGAGTTTAAATAGTAAAGTTCTATATAACATTTGATCTAACTTCTATTTGTGTTTGTTAACGTATTTTTAAATTCCGTGAACTCTTCAAATTCTGTGGAATTTATATTTCGCCAACGTTAGTGCGAAACAATTACTTTGCAATTTTTCCTTGTGTCGTTGGCTTATCTTGTTATTACAACTTAAGAGATTATAATTTTTCCTTTAGAAATAAAATTAAACGTTCATGGCCATTCTATAACTTCTTTTAGATCAACTTAATTGTAAATTTTATACTTTCAATGCTAATCGATTAATGGAAAAAAAAATTCAGTTTCGATAATGCGCCATATGGCTTAGCTTAACTTCGTATAATTGTGACTTTAATAATCGAATATGTCATTAATGAAAGTAATGTCATAAAAATATATGTCTTGCATTCATGTTAAAAATATTTTTAATACAGCTAATAAAATTTGATGCAACCATCGAAAAATGGTACATTTTATACTTTCTAAATCTTTTTCATGCCCTTAAAATTAATTCGGTCTATCAAAAAATTGTAGAAACGTTGTATTTGCGAGCTTATTCACAAAGCGTTGTAGCTAAGTCGGAGATAACACGCTCGCGCTACTACTCGCCTTTCTCAAACGGGCGTCTTACGTACCTGTTTACAGTCCATATGGCTCTGGCAACTTTGGCGCAGCTGGCTTTTTCCGTCAGTCAATGCCGAACGTCGAGTGCTTAACTCTTTCCTTTCACTTGTGCCTCATGAGTCACACGCACACACTTGTATAAAGAGGTGCTGACTAGATAATTTTTGTTGACAAATACCTGATCGTTTTCAACCTCTTTTATATGATTTTTCAGAGTTTGGAGATAAGTCGTTCAATGATACATTTGTTTTGTTACACATTTAGCTTGTCTACGAAATTTAAGATCTTTCAAAATTGCCGAACATATTGCAGCTTTGTACTATGAAAATTATTTATTTAATAACATCCCACATGTAAACAAAAGTGTAAACGCTCTTTGTTAATTCGAATGATTCGTAACTTGCCAGAATTGGTATGTTATTATGAATTATATTTCTTTGTTTGTCTGCTCAATTGAGTATGCAAATCTTTCATGAGTTTGTAATTTATGAAAAGATATTCATCTTAAAAGCCTGATGCCACATAAAATCATTTTAATTTTAAAGATTGATACTATTCAAGAGGTTGTTTGTCAGTTTATAAAAATAATTCATAGAACCTCTATTTTGTTTTTTCAGCGGAAAGGGCTCTTGATACCATGAATTTTGACATGATCAAAGGACGGCCGATCCGTATAATGTGGTCGCAACGTGATCCATCGCTCAGGCGATCTGGCGTTGGAAACGTATTCATTAAAAACTTGGATAAAAATATTGACAATAAAGCCATGTACGATACATTCTCGGCTTTTGGCAATATTTTGAGCTGTAAGGTCGCCCAAGACGAGACAGGTGCGTCCAAGGGCTATGGCTTTGTGCATTTTGAAACCGAAGAGGCTGCCAACAAATCAATTGACAAGGTCAACGGAATGTTACTGAATGGTAAAAAGGTATGCTTTTAAGAAATACACTATATTAATATTAAATTGCTCCAAAGAACTACAGTTTTAACATGATTGCTAACGTCAACTGTCATTGTGCAGGTTTATGTTGGCAAATTCGTTTCCCGCAAGGAACGTGAAAAGGAACTTGGCGAAAAGGCCAAGCTTTTCACAAACGTTTATGTGAAGAACTTTGGCGAAGATATGACGGATGAAAAGCTCAAGGAAATCTTCGAGAAGTATGGTACCATCACGAGCCATAAGGTGATGAGCAAAGACGACGGAAAATCACGGGGTTTCGGCTTCGTTGCTTTTGAAGACCCGGTCGCTGCTGACCACGCTGTAGCCGAGCTTAACGGCAAGGATCTTGGGGATGGCAAAATTCTCTTTGTCGGTCGAGCACAGAAGAAGGCTGAACGCCAGCAGGAGCTGAAGCGCAAATTCGAGCAGCTTAAGATAGAAAGGCTAAGTAGGTACCAGGGAGTCAACCTCTACGTCAAAAATCTTGACGACACGATCGATGATGAACGTCTGCGAAAGGAGTTTGCTCCATTCGGAACAATTACATCGGTCAAAGTTATGATGGAGGATGGACGCAGCAAAGGCTTTGGTTTCGTTTGCTTCTCGCTACCCGAGGAGGCGACCAAGGCCGTGACCGAGATGAACGGCCGAATCGTTGGCTCAAAGCCACTCTACGTGGCACTGGCTCAGCGTAAAGAGGATCGTAAGGCCCACCTTGCCTCTCAATACCTGCAACGCGTCGCCAACCTCCGCATGCAACACATGGGCCAGGTCTTCCAGACCGGTGGTGCCAGCACTGGCTACTTTGTGCCCACCCTACCTCAGCCCCAGCGATTCTATGGACCGGCTCAGATGGCTCAGATTAGAACCACTCCGCGCTGGCCTGCCCAGCCCGTGCGACCCAACGCTCAAGCAGGCAACACCGGCTTCACCACCATGCAGACCCAGTTCCGTACTGCCCCGCGCGCTCCATCTGCCCAAGCCAATGCCATGCGCAATCCCATCTCCGCCAGACCCATCACAGGTAGTTATTTAGTTGAAAAAATTATTTCGATTAAATTACTTGCAAAGTTTATTTTTAGAGAGAAAGGAAAAATGTTATACTTTTGTGGAAGGGTGACTAACGTATTGTGTTCCTTCGTTTTAGGTCAACAAACTGTGCCAGGAGCAACTAACATGCAAAATCGCTCAATGGCAGGTCCAGCTGTCGGCGTCAATCCCCAAGGTCGACCATCAAATTACAAGTACACACCTAACATGCGCAATCCACCTCCGGTGATGGCCATGACTCCTGTCCAGGCTCCAACACAGCAAGCCGTGCACATCCAAGGCCAGGAGCCACTGACCGCATCCATGTTAGCCGCCGCTCAGCCCCAAGAACAGAAGCAGATGCTGGGTGAACGTCTCTTCCCGCTTATCCAGTGCATGTATCCCAATCTCACTGGAAAGATCACCGGTATGTTGCTGGAGATCGACAACAGCGAGCTTCTGCACATGTTGGAGCACGGGGAGAGTCTGAAGGCCAAAGTTGAGGAGGCCGTGGCTGTGCTCCAGGCCCATCAGGCCAAACAGGCTGTTGCCAGCAAGAAGGAGTAAATTACTCTCCTTGTTGATTATTACGATCGTCTTTCTTTCTTTTGTTACATTCGACTTTGTCCTTTTTTTTCAATTATGACGTTCGCGGTAATTTCCGTGTTTTATTTTTCTTTTTACAAGCTAATTTGAGTATGTTTAAATCAGTGTACTATCGTTGAGTTGACTTTATATGGAAACTATCGCTCAATCATCTCTTTTCTTATTTGTTAAAATCACTTAGATCAGCAACTTGAAAAATGCAACCGAAAAAATATTAAATGCACGGCGTTATCCTCAGTTATCAAAAACAAAGATTTAACAAATAAGTGAAAGACAAACTGCGAGTGATGTAATTTTCCTTTCATGATTCTTTGATTCGAATTTACTCGACTTTGCTTGTAAAAACAAAAGAAAGATGGAAATAACCATCCAAGATAATCATCGTTCGGTGTTACTTTTAATCAATTTTTTTTTCATTTTCCTTTGAAATTTATCTTTTATGAATCAAGAAGAATCTATATTTGTGAAAACTTCGAAAAGTATATTTGTTCAATAAGTTACAATAAAAAACAGTAAACAATAACTTGATGCGTATTTAATTTTTTTATCTACCTCAATCATAGTTGTTGAACAATTATTAACGATATTATATAATGTATACCTCATGGATTAAGATGTATAACATTAACCCAGTACGAATTAGCTTCAACTTATATGTACAGTACATATAAGTTGAAGTTGAAGTACATAATGTACTTATATAATTACCATTTGACGAGATGACGAGTTCAAAAATTCGCTCACTCTTTTGGTCGTGTACATGTACATACTTACATGACATGTGCAATTGTGTATGGGATGGGGTTTCGGGGGGGTCGTCTACTGGTTACATTATTTGCAAATCGTTTAATTAAAAAATTCATTACGCGGAGTTGTTATAAGTAAAAAATGTTATGTTGGTTCAGTGATTTATAAACAATTAAAGTTCTTTACAAAAATTGTTATAAAAAGCTGTTAAGGTATTGGCATTTTTGTGTAGAATTCTCTTGCTCATTTGAATTTTAATTACATAGGTTCAACAATTTATGTTTCAGGATTTTTTTGGTTTTAAATAATGACGTTATCATTTGCAAAAACCACATTCTCATTACACAAAAGATTGAGCGATATTATTGTTTATTCTAACCTGTACCTTTACAACAGCTAACTGAAAATTTTAGAGTAAGTTTTTTGGTTAATTTTTTTTCTATTAAACTATGAAAATGGCCAAAAAAATGGAAGTCCGAAAAACATCGTCGTTGTTAAACACTGCAATAGACGCGTTATTGCAAATTTTGGCACATACCTGTGGAATATCATTATCATTTGTACCTCTATTGTTTACATATTTAAACATAACTCAAAAAGATTATTTCATTGATGAAAAGTTTCATGTTCCACAAACCATTCAGTATTGCAATGGAAATTTTTTTGAATGGGACCAGAAAATAACAACTTTACCAGGGCTGTATCTTTTTGCAGCTGCAATACTTGGGCCTTTCAAATTTTGCACAATCACCCATTTGAGACTTCTTAATGTATTTTTCACATATATAAACGTGTGGCTAGCTTATCTCATTTTAAATAAGCAGAGGAGAGAGAAAGTGACCAAGCAAGAAGAAAACTTAAGGGTTTACTCATTATTTTTAAGAGCCTGGAACATTGCTTTCTTTCCTCCACTGTTTTTCTGGTTTTTCTTGTACTATACTGACGTTTTTTCAGTCACTTTGATCCTGCTGATGTTCCTCTGTTATATTAGCAGAAAAGACAAGTCAGCAGCTTTTGTTGGTTTACTAACAATCTGTGTTAGACAGACCAATGTTATTTGGGTTGCCTACATAGGCATTGAACGAGGATTTGATGCAATAGATCAGCTTACAAAAAAGCCACAGTATACCAACACCCTTAATCTCTTTCCTTGCATTAAGACCTTATTTGGAATTTTTCGAGCAAAAGCTAGACATGGAACTGTAAAATTTCTGCAGTTTACTAAATCATTTTGTATGCCATTTATACATTATCTTTTAGTTTTGATAGCTTTTGCAGTTTTTGTTACATACAACAATGGAATAGTTGTAGGAGACAGGAGTGCTCACAAACCTACGATTCATGCTGTACAAATTTTTTACTTTTCTATGTTTGTAATAGCTTTTGCATGGCCATATCTGTTGCCATATATCTCGAAACCGTTAGAATTACTATCAGATCACATAGTTGCATCAACTTGCATAATTGGAGTGATTGTTCATCATAATACTCTAGTTCATCCATATATATTGGCAGACAATAGACATTACTCATTTTACGTGTGGAAAAATTTAATGAATCGCTATCACTTATTCAAATATTTACTGGTTCCTATGTATGCATTTGCTCTTCATGCTATTTTAAAATCTATTAGTCACATGAGAAAATTATCTATTTTATCATTAGCATTTTGTACATGTGCAGTACTTGTACCTCAATTGTTACTTGAACCAAGATACTTCATTATTCCTTATATTTTATACAGACTTCAATTAAAGGAACCCAAGCACTGGCAACTAGTAGCTGAAACTGTTACGATTATTCTTGTCAATATTTTTCAGTTTTACTTGTTTACAAGTAAATCATTTAGTTGGGCAGATGAGAAACATCCCCAAAGAATTGCATGGTAAATTATTTTTGAATGCAATAAACAATGTTTGAAAAACGTATGTGTGTATTGATTAAAAATAAAATTTTTATATTATAGCTGCAGGAAACTTGTTATTTGTGATAATACCAAAATATGGAATTTTGCAAATCAAGTTAGTACATATAAGTTCATTTCATTAGTATGAATTCCTTGTTTTTGATTTTTGTAATCTATGTGTACCTTGATTTTATAAACAACAAAATAAATTTTTTGGAAAACATGAAAAAAGTATAAATTTTATTTATCGTACGTAGTCCTTAATCATAATATGGTAATGATACTTTTACAGAACTAAAAACTTCATTTATTAAAATAAAAAGTAAATGTTATAAAAACTAGAGATGAGTACATTTGGTTAACATACAAATTTTCTAGGCATGAGCTTAGAAAAATACATGATAGAAAAAATGCATTTATTCTTGTAGATCAAAAAATAAGTTTCACTTATAAATCTATATTATACAGTACACTTTAGTACTAGCAGGAAGCTTTCTCCGCCAATTCGGCAGCCTTGGTCAGTACGATCTGAATATCCATGGATGGAAAGTTCTGTAGTAGCTTCACGTTGGCCGCAAAATCTCCATTGAGTATCTGGTTTTTGCAGAGCAAAATCATGGCGCAGCATATGTGTATTAAAAAATCAAATCTGTTGTCATCCGAAAACAAAGAGTCCCATATTCTCATGACATCTGGCAAGGGGAATTCTTGTGACAACAAGAGGGTCAGCCACCTAAAGCTATAGTACTGAGGACAGAGCTCTTGCTGGTGCAAGCGCAGCCATATGTCATAACAATTGGATTTGACTTCACTTATTAATTTGTCCATCATGGCGTTAATGCCAAACTCAGCTTCATCCAGCGATTTGATGAAAAAGTCTCGGATCTCGGCCATGAGATTCGTAAAGCAAAAGAAAGTATCTGCCTCAGCGTGCTCTCTCCATTTTTGATCTGGATCACAGGCAAATGCATAGTAAATTGGCCCAACAATCTCATTCATACCCTGTACATATCCCTGGCCAGGATTCAACTTAGCGTATAGGAACAAAATCCGCTCCAGGACCTCCCAGTGTGCCTCTCCACCTTCCAAAGGGGCATAATCTTCGATGGCTTTTCTAGCAGACACAGCAATTTTAGTCACTCCAAGGCCCTTTCTCTCAACACTTGCACTCTTCAGTACGGTGTGATGGACCCTCTGGTGCAGTCTCTTTTGCCCATTGCTGTGGACAATAGCTTCGCAGGGATACTCTGTGCCTTGCTGAAAGAACGATATGTCAGGACAGAGTCTCCTGACATCCTTGTCAATTTGGAGAAGCACCTCGTTGTCCTTGAAGTAGGCCTGCCACTTGCTGTCTGGATCAAGATTCAGGGGATGATCGTCGCTGGTGACGTCGATCCTGCCATCGGTATCCGAATTCGATTCACCGGGTATGACAATAAGATCGTCGATGAAGGACTTGTAGAGCTCACGCTTACGCGCCAGAGTCTCGTCCCACTTGTCACTCGAGCTGGGAATGTAGTTGAGCAGCAGCTTCCAGCAGAGGGGCCTCAGACTACCCTCGTCCGGAATACCGTTAAAACAGAGCCGGCGCAGCTGCCACTCTTCGATCTCTTTTGCGCCGAGCACCTCCTCGAACTCCTGGATCCTGCGCTTTAATATACTCATCCTTCATTACTGTTGTGTACATTAATCCTCGTTTATTGTTGCATCTGATAGTAAAAAAAAAAAAAAAAAAAAAAAAAAAAAAAAAAAAAATTAATAATAATAGTACATGCTTTTGGATTTCCACTTGTTTTTTGTTTTATTTTTTTTCTCTCATATCTTCATCACTGAACTAACTCTTTCGGAGTAACAATAAACATCTGCTGTATAGGTTGTAGCGATTATTTTTTTATGCATATGCGAGACCGCTCCGATTTCACGTTCTTTTTATCAGCAGCGACAGCTGTGCTTTATTCGCGATTTGTAAACGTACTTACTTACTTATTTACGCAAAACAAATTCGACACAAGTAAGTACTGCAGTCTTGGAGAGAGCAAAACAAAACTGATTTTCCGTCAGCTGATGTGAATAAAATTATGGTAAGTATGTGATTTGGCGTAACTTACGTGTCAATTACACGTATACGCTCCATGGCTTGGTGACGTCATTAAGCGAATTGAAAGATAATTTGAAAGTTTTGCACCTCTTTTTTTTTTTACATTTTGGTAAGTACAATAAGGTCACATGTAATCTTTTCTTTTTTGGACGATATGAAATGAGAGAATTATTTATAAGTCTATATGTCTTTGATTCATTAAATGGATTTTGACTTCGTCTAATGATAAATATACATTGTACCGCCCCAAATGGAAGGAAAAACCTTGATTTAATTAATCAACAAAAACCATTAAAAACTTCGTAATTCGGTCGTAAATTAAATGAAATTTGCCAATACCGCCCTATACGACCCCGTAGCTTTGAAAGAGTTTTCTGGCAATTCCATTTAAAAAACGCATGGGAAGGTGGGACAATAGCTTTATTAATAAAAAAAAACGCAGTTTTACTTTGAAAAAGATTTTTTTCTTTTTTATTCTTGACCACTCATCGTAGCTTTTTTTTTATTTGACGTCGAGCTTTTTTTTTTTTTTTTTTTTATTACGTTTCTTTTTCTTGCGTTCTTTGCGTTTCATCGGCATTTCTGCAAAAATATAAACATGAAAATCAAACAATTTATAAACGTATACACATACGCTCGAGTACGCATCAATCGCACTGTAACACGTATCGTCGTACTTTATACATACCTATATACACATACAACCGCTATCGCCGTATCGTGTCAAACGAATCGAATAGATAATACGCGTATAGTGAACACACTTTTTACTTGTTATAAGTACATTTCTTTCGCTGAATGTTACTTATTTAACGAAAATACGCGGTTGCTTACATATATAGTAACGATGTGCTTATGCACACAAATGTATATACAAGTCCAGGAACAAGTTTATAATAATAACGATGATCCTGCGAGTAAAATTCGAGCGCGAGTTTCGATCGTACTATCTATTCGTTTCGTTCATTTAAAAAACGTATATCTTAACTTTGACTATTTACATACTGTACATACTGATTTGTATTTATATTTTTTTCTTTTTTTTTTAACGTACGTACATCATGTACATTTTTTACCATTATATATACAATAGACGACCTTTGATCAGCTTTCATTTTGATTATTTATTAATTTACAATATAGTGTTCAATCGATGAATCGTACGATGTCGTGGTTTAATGTTTACACACGTGTGAGTGGGTCGGAGAGAGGATAGTTTTTTTAACTAGAAAATAAATTTATTGTGCCAAAATACTTGTAAAAATGAAGTTTCGACTTCACATTGGTTAAAATAGAGTTGAACGAAAACGTCTCATAAGCAAAATATATCAGAACTAAAGGAAAATTGTGATTATGAAATTTTTAGATCTTACGTGGTTAGATATATTATGCACTTTACGAATAAATAAAGATTGAAATGCGATAATTTTAAAAATCATAAAAAAAATTATTTTAAAAAATTGTGTAATTGAAAACAATGCTCTTTTCGAATTTTCCATGGTTTTCTTATACCTTTTTTCTATTCACAAATTTTTTGCCAAATTATTAAAAAAAAATTGATTTTATGTATATTATTCAATGACTTTTAAATATATTCTCGTCTATACATTGTAACTTACATTTTTGAATTTCTAGACAATTTTTTATTTTTGACTAGTTCATTATAAATTTTACACACATAAATTATACATGCATGACTAAATTTTCCCTTAGGAAAATTTTTTTTCTACTACATAAATTTGTATAGAAATTCTATGATAGTCTCGTGCAATGTTCTCTTCGCTATATTATTTATTTTTCAATTTTCTTTTTAATAAAATATTGTAATCTTATTTGGGTTAAAAAATTTCATGCCAATTTTTCCTCTTTTGGATTTTCGAATATTTTTTCAGTTACAATACATTAAAATAAAAAATTATCTGATTTTTTGGCAACAGTCAAAAATAACAATTATTAATGATAACGAATTCCAAATTTATTTAATTGTTAACTTAGTATTGAAAAAATCATTCATTAGCTAAAATATGTCACAAATTTATTTTAAAACTAATTGTAAATTAGAAGTACTAAATTTTATTAAAAGTTTAAACATTAAAATTGAATAAAATTAGGTAAAAAAATGAGCAAACTAGTTCATTAAATTTGAAGAAATTTTTTTTCGTATTTTGTGAGTAGAAAATGATTCATTTTAATACGAAAAATAGTAAAAAAATAAAGTTAAAGAAAAAAAAACAAACCTGAAACTTAAGTATTACATCAAGACGTTTATTTACAGTTTTTTTAAATAACTACATTCTTCAATTTCATTTTTACAAATATTTACAATATGTAATAGTTCAATATTTAAATTTCCCTTGGATACTTGCACAAATTTAACATTATACTGTTGTCAATTGTACAACTTATTTTTTTTCATGACGATGAAAATATTTGCGTGGCTGTTGTTGTCACATGACAAATTACGAATTTTTTCTCTTTTACTATTTAAATATAATCATGTAATTAAAAAAAAAAAAAAAATACATAAAAAACCAATGATAACAAAGATAATAATAATAGTGCTGTATGTGTGTGTCGTATTATAACACTTACTTCTTGTCTAAGTACGACTCATCGATTGCGCGAAAAAAACGCTTTGCCTTACGATTTTTTTCTTTTGTTTTATTACCTTTAAACCCTTACTTTCGACACTTCAATTAAATTACGAAATCGCACTTAGTGTTAAAAAAGGTGTTCGGCTAAAGATACATAGCCTATAAGCGTATTTAGTTTTTCAGTATTTGCGCGTGGGTTACTCTTGTTTTAGTATAGTTATGATTCCTAAAAACCCCGCGTTTTTTTTTTACTGTATACGCGTAAAATACTTTACTATCTTACGGTTAAACTAATTTTTGTTTTTTCGCGATTTGTGTATGCTTTTTCGTACTACAGAGCCATGTTTTTACCATTAAGTTGGTAAATAATTCATTGAAATGAAATAATGTGCTCTATAATCTGTATGAGCGACTTTAATTTTTGTTACATTCAAATACTCCATGTATGTGGAAGGATTTTAATTAAAGAAAATCCAGTAGACAATTAAATTAATTTTATACATTTAAATAAACAAATTTAATTTATCAAGTATCTTTTGTAAATTAAAAAAAAAATTTGTATACACATATTTTTCATTTTATTTTATTTTCACGCATTTTATTATAAAAAACAATACATACTGATTTTAAATTATATCATGAGACGATTTTAAATTATTTCATAATGTTTGTTCAACAACGTAAATTTTTAATGTAAAATTAATAACGAATGAACCAAATTCAGAATGAGAAGTCATGGGTACAATGAAAAATGCATGCTTAAATTGAAACATCATGGTGAGCGAGTGAAAAAATTTACGTCACGTACGCAATGCTTTTTGTTTAAAACGATAATTTTTCTATTTACATCATATTTCACGTGACTTCGAAACAACTTTCGTAAAAATTCTTTGAAAGTTACACATAAAACTTGAATAAATTCAGTTACGTAAATAGTATAAAATCAATAGTTAAACGTCAAGATGTTAGAAATGTTTATGCACGCATACATAATTACGAACATATTTTTACTTTTATCTTTAACAAGTCTTTGCATTAACAATGAGTGCATTTTCAAGTAAAAAAATTATGAGGTTGGGATAACATGGGAAAAAGTTTATACTCAAACAAATCATCTCAAACTCAGCAAAATCTTTGAATTTCATTATTTATGGCCGTTATGGAACACTTTAAGGTTTGTAACGTTAGTTTTAACAGATCAGAAATGGATAAAATAAAAAAAAAACCTTTTTCTTTCAATAGAGGAATTAATGTATCATTGAATCAAGTAGTGATTTATGTACATATAGAAAAAGAATGTTAACAAAAGTTTGATTAAATTTGGGCTACCACATGTCGCTTCCAGCACACAACGATAATCTAACGGTGAAATATCTAGATAGTAGGTACCGAATGATTAAAATAAAAAAGTGATGTTTGACGATAAAATTTTTTATTAAAATAAAAATTTAATAATGTTTTCTATTGACATTGTTAATTTTTTTTTTTCTCAACTCTACTACGTATGGATAAAAAATCGTGTTGGTATTAAAATACAAAAGCACAATGCAAAGATTTAAAAAAATTATCTAGAAAAAACTACGCTTTCACCGTCCGACATCATTGTAAATGCCCTTGTTATTCTCGATTATAGAAAACACATCAGGCACTGCAGTAAAAACTTTGGTAAGGGATCCTACACTTGTTTTTCATGTCTTTATATTTCGTGTGCTACGTATATACAAATTTCAAGAGTGGAAGTTATCGTTTATTTTTTACAACGAGAACTTTCGTTTGAAAAAGAAGAATCAAAATAGGCAACGATTCGTTATAATTTTTTTCAAATACTTTAATTTAGTAAAATACATTGTAAAATACGCAATAATCTTTGCTATTAGGTTCATTTACAGTTGCACGGATCTTCTGCTTGGCTATGGTTTTTTTTTTGTTTATTTATGAACTTATGTCATTATTTATACAAATTTCAGACACGTAGTTATTATCTACGTTTATATTACTATGATTAAAAAAAAAAAAAAAATAAAATAAAATAAACGTGTATAATTCCGCCCCGATTGATTAAAAACAAGTAATGACTCAAGAATTCTCAACCAAGTCAACTTGTAATCGCTTATTACTCAACCTTTACCATATCAACAAATATAATATATGTATATAGGCTTAACAAAATGTACAGATGTTAACGATCCGTCGGTTACAACAACTATCGTTGCCGCGGATTATAATATAATTTAATGATAATTACACCGACGAAATTTTTTTCCGTCTTTCGATTTGTATTACAAAATTGTCAAGAGTCTTATATCAACACACTAAGGGAGGAAACTTATACAAATCCATTCAATTCATTGCTACTTCCTTTGATGACCAATGGAAGACAAAAAATAGAAGAAATGTTTTTCGTTCGTCAATACGCGCGATATTCATTTCTTCACTACTTAAGACGATCAAATTTCTATGATGATAAAAAGAAAAGGAAAAGAATAGATGACAACAAGGTAATCACTTGGGTACGATAAGACCAAGAGCTCATCTCTCGTGGTCCGAAGGGAAACGTGTACAAGAGACAGCCTCTTATCCTCAGAGGGATAATCTGCAGCATCAAATAAACTCAGCATCATCATAAGCTCTTCTTATTTTTAAATATCGCCCGTGTATACGTGCGGTGTTTCATCCGTTTCACCCCTGTTTTTGTACATCACTATTAATAGGAAAAAAAAAAAAAAAATTTAACGAAAAAAGAAGGTACCACAGGAGGCTACCCCAAAGGGGCTATCATAATGTAATAATCAATTTGGCTGTGTAAAACAGAGTCGACTTCGGCATTAACAAAGTGACCCATCGTAGACATGTCTAAGTGATCCTAGCGCCGCCGTTCGCGAGGGTCTTGCTGGGCCCGAGTACAATGCCTTTGCCCTCTTCTTGGAGTTTCTTCAGGTAATCCTCGACCATGTCGGCTAATAAGCGCCGTTTAAAACGCATCGCTACATGTACTATGTCACGCACGAAGGCCAATCTGGTGTCCAGGCTGCCTTGGATCATTTGCAGATGAGAGAACAACGACGAGAAATCTGCAAGTAAAGAGTGAAAGGTTGCTCTGTGTTATGTTTTCACGAGGACACATATTTATACATTCTGATGTGCGTTAGTTTGAGTGTGTGTATGCGTAAGTGCTATTACTATATTATGTTTGTGCTCTTTTTTTTTTTACATAATTGATAAATCATGTGTGTGATATATATTTTTGATAAGACATACAAATGTTGATCGATACTTTCTTTTTTCGTTAATGAGTCACAGAAATTTTTTTTTCTGTATCGTAAATCGATAATTTTGTTTGTTTCTCGTGGGTCAAACAAAGTATTTTAAATAGTCGTTGAACTGTTGAAAGTTATATGATAAAATTGTTTCTTCAAACGGCACAAAAAAATTTGGTAAACAATTTTTTGTCCAGAGTGGACTGCTAAAAAAAAAAAAGAAACCTAGGCATTTTGATTTTTTATGCCCAGAAAATAGTATAAGCCTGACTTGTCAACTTTATAGGTAAAATCAATACTTTATCATTGGAAATAACTTGAATTAACGAACATGTTACTCCAGTTACTTCAAAAATATATGAAGTAAAAAAAAATGGTTAGCTCAAGGTCAGGGAAGAAGGCACAATGATCACAAATAAAATGAACCGTACTGAGACTCACGTGCGGCTCTGTTGGCTGATGTTTGTTCAAACGAACAAAATAATTGCTTTGGGTACACGCAACGCAGAGCAGCGTGGTAAGTTTTGTGTTTAAAAACTATTGCTTGTAAAGTATCACATTTCCGCTTACCTAACTTATAGGTACAGCGCGAAACTGAGTATAACATCCAAATCAGCTTTACTTTTTTGTGCAGAAGAAATGCGAAATAATCTTTCCGCACACATAATTATAATGTTTGCATATTTTGCCAATCGTATCGCATATATGTATAAGTACCTATTTGTATATTGTGTCTTAAATGGAGACAGGCATTTAGCACAATAGCGTGGCTCTCGGCGGTGGCGACGAGTTAATCGCACATTGCCTGTCATTTTAATGCTTCATTGAAATTGTAGAGACGAGTATATTTATATAGGGTATACGTGATGAGTCCAAAGTTTTTTTTATGCACATAAAATAAATACAACAAAGGGTTTCAAAAATTTTCATCATACGCGGCATTGTCTTAGTTTAAGAATTTTTCTTTTTTTCGTCGCGAAATCTCATTGCTGCTAATAATTATCTGTTATATCGTTGCATTTGTAATTTTTATAAATATTGAGATTTTATATTTACGCCATTGGTATTCTACATACAAACTGTAAAACAAATCGATTTAAATATGATAATCCAAGGAAAAAGTCATTTGAATATTAAAAAGGGATGGTTTTTCTGTGACTCACTAATAACTATATAATTGTACAAAAAATACTTACTGTTGCCTTTTCTCCTAATAAGTTTGTAAATCTCAGTTCTGATATTCACATTGTGCTTCCTAATATCCTCGAGCTCCTTACTTGTCAACTGTCTCTCAACTTTAACCTCAGATTTAATAGTCCGCTCGTCCACGTGATTCGTAAGCAGCTGCGACGACGACACACTAGCACTACAACTACCTGCACCACTAGCACTTGTTGTCGCCGCACTGCTACTACTACTATTACTACTGTAACTTGTACTACCCGCAGCATCTAGCTCGGCACATTTGAACTTGCCCACAGAACTACTGTTGTTCTCCAGCTGTTGTCCATCAACATTCATTGACGACAACCTTAGCTCGTTTTTAATAGCCTGCAATTCAGTCTTGCAGACACTGTTAGCTAAACTAACACCACTAGAAATACTCTTAACGATTCCGTCCAAGTTGTTCGTCAAAGCTGTAACTTCGGCACTGTTACTACTGTGATTCGCGTATGCGGCACTAAACGCACCATCGGCACTGGCACTACTATTAACCACCAACTCGTCCGTATTACTGCTGGGCTCGAACGCACCCAGCGACGCGGCATACGACAAATCACCGTTCACAAGTTTCTGTTCCGTGATCATCGCGCCGTTGCTACTCTTATTCGGCATCATCAAACTCATAATAGCACTACTACTGTTGGAGTACGTTGGGTTAATCGCGTTAGCGGTACCGAGCAACGTCACCGCAGACACACTCGAGTCATTGTTGTTACTGTTGCTGTTGAGGTTCCTGACGACTGCACCTGTTGGAACGATCGTGGTCGGGGTCGTCAGGGATGTTGGAGGTGGTGTTGTCGGTGGTGACGCGGGGTATTTGAAGTCCGAGTACGACCAGGGCACGGGCGAGTGTGGTGGCGTGTAGACCGGCGAGGTCGTTGAATACGTGGGTGTGGTGGGCCGGCGCACGACCACGTCTTTTGGAATAGGTCCGGGTTTCCGTTTGTTTGGCATTCGTAAGTTATTACCTGAACCAAGGCTACTGGACTCCATAGTGATGGAACGTTTGCTGCCCTTGGTCGACGAGGCAGAGCCAATGTCGATATCCGCCTCGTCTACCATGTATCGCTTGTCTATCTTAAATGGATTACCTATGATATACAAATAAACAATTAGTTTGATGAAGATTTTGATAGAAATGAAGAGTAACTGTTTATAAATAATTACCAAACATGTGTTGCCTGACCGGCGTGCTTTCAATTTCTCGAAGCGCTGGTGGCGCCCGTTTAAGGTACTCTTGGTAGTTACCCATTTGCGATACGGGCAAAGAATGCATACAGTCATCGTCGACGAGTTTTGTGTACAACAGTCCTGGCTGCAAAAAGTTAGCCCGCATTCGGACTACTTGATCAAGCAGCGATTTCCGCGGTATGTCAAAAGCGTTACGGTAACTTTGAGCTCCCCGTTGCTGTTGTTGGTTCTTCACCAAACCTACCACGAAATTGCTAAACTTATTGAGATCCTCCCTTATGTCCGTATGAGAGTTGGCCAACTGTGCAGAACAAGAAACATGTTTAATTTGATTGCGCATGAAGATATACTACATGCTTAATCAATATGAAAATTTATTTACCGAGTCCTTTTTGAGTGGACCACGGGGTGTAACGCGCAGACCTTCGACCACTGTATTGGCGCTATTGTTAATGAGACTCTTATTTGCCACTTGCCTCGATATAACCTCATTACATATCCTATCGTATTCCGATTTGGCTATGTTTTTCACTCGCTTCAGATAGTTCATTACACTATAAGACACCGCGCTGTCCATGTTATCTGGGATCAAAGTCTGTGCCAAAGCAGCAGGTGCTCCCATTCTCGTTAAAGCTCTTCTTAACGACTGTAAATAAAAATTTTCTTTTTTTTTATGTTCATACAGAATTTTTATGTAATGGAAAATTATAAATACTCACAGCTGCATAGTATGCAGGCATGGTCCTCATATAGTTCTGAAATTGCGTCCTCCACTCATTGCTAGGCTTTAACCTGTGCACTTTGAACAAATCGTCTAGTAACGGTAGCAAGACCGGATAATTGTACGGCATGACAAAAAGATTAACACACGTCAGATTCGTACTGGCTTTGAGGTAGCCAAACGGATGGGCAACCTCGCTGCTCTTGTACGAGTTGGCAATGAAAACCTGCCAGCATATCGTTGGCTGCTTCCTTGCCAGAATATACTGAGTTAACGGGCTAGGTTCGAGTTCGTATTTGTCAAAAGGTAGATTCTCGATGACCAAAGGTTCTTGGCTTGTGCACGTAAATTTTACGTTAGGATGCGCTGTGCGCGCTGGTAACGAGCTTGCTGAGACATCAGGCCAAAAGTTTTCGGGTATCGGCCAGAATCCCACGGCAAAGCCTTTTTGAGCCGAACGAGGCACATAAATTAGTCGCCGACACGCATGCCACGCCGTGTTATTATTATTCAAGTTATTAAGTATCACTGGAGTTATTCCTGGTGTCGAGACTCGACTCTGTAAACAAAAATTATTAGTACGCATGCACATCAAATTATCAACCAATGTTCAAATAAATCATTCAACGCACCGGTCCATTAGAGTTCTGACCGTTCATCTCGTCGTCGTGATCTTCATCGATATCGGTATATGATTTCGCGTTAGCTTCACCCGTCAGCGGTGAAGGATCAGGCCCAATCTTTTCGAAATTAATAACAACGCCGGACTGCACTTTGGCGACAAGAGAATCAATGCACTGCTGCATTATTCGATGCGTGGTAACGCAGTAGGATCGTCCTCCCGTAACTTCGCACATCGCGTCGATGGGCGAGGAATCACTGGCTACTAGTCCTATATCACGTTCGGGTGTTGGTGTGCCAGCCATTCGCAGCACGAGAGAAAACAGACGCTGGTCCCAGCGGAATGGTTCCTTTGTTAGCTCGGAGCCCGGAATTGGCGCGTGCATAGGAAGCGTAAACTAAAAATTGTATTTAATAAAATTAGATTCGTTTTTTGAAATAATTAAGCAACAAATGTCAATGTCAAAGATAATGATACTAACATCTTGATGAACACCACTACTCGTGGTGTACTTTCCACCGTCAGTAATGACTACGATGACCGAGGGCTCGAGATAGAAAGGACACCTGCCCATACCGTACGTGTCGATACCTGTTTGCATACGATTGATGTTTAAAATATCGAAGGCGTTCTTTAGCGCGCCACCGAGTGTCGTTAGGCCCACGCATTGTAAGTTTTTGAGTTCGTTCATAAACGTTGCTAGATTTTCTTTCCAGCCAGCCTGCAAAAAATTGAGTTTGTATCTATTAGGTTTCTCGAATATTACTAATTTTTTAATGCTCCAGCAATCAAATTAACAAGGATTATTAATGCATTGAAATAATCATCTTTCTTTCTCAATTTAATGTGTTCTAAACTAATGTGAAAAAAGTATACACAGTAAAACACTGCACCTTGATATTGTTTGGTGACTCTTCAAAAGTCAACAGCATGTATCTGTCTCCTCGACTTTCTGGTGACCTTTGTCGTACCTAAAACAACATTATAACGTGTCAAGTAAACGATTTGAGAATTTTAAAATAAATTTTCCCAAGCACTAACTAATCTTGTTTTATACTTGTATAACATTCACGTCATTTTTGTCTCAATATTTTGAAATATACTTGCTTTAAAGTACAAGTATAAGAGTGAAAAAAAAAGTAGTATATAATCAAGGCTAGACTTCTAATGTTTAAAGTTCAATGAGTAAACCATCAATGTTTTTGCAAAAAACAATTAGAATCCTTGAACTCTGCTACAAACTGTCAGAATCTTGACAGTATTTTGTGCAGGGTTTTATTTGTATGAAAACCGGTTCTATTTTATAAATTCCAAAATGCTGTAATTTGTACAATGCAGGTTTGTTTTAAACGATTTGCATAACTATAAAACCAACGTTTTTTTTAAAGGCTTTACAGTCTATGCATCAAACAAGATTAAAACATCGAGAATAAGAACGACATTGTTATTATTATTTTTTTTTTTTACAAATTACTGTATCTCTTATGAAATATTTTCAATAACATCAATGATTGACACATTGAAATGTTAGGTTTCCCAAATCCAAAGATAAACACGCAAATACATTGCAAGTATTTGTTGTAATCGTGGTGGAAAACTTTTTGTAGTATGAAAGGAAGATCCTTCAAAAATTCTCTAATGACAAATAAATCAAGTGCAGACAAAGCAGCTGCCTGTATGGTTAGCTATGCATCCATCCACCCACTAGTCTCCTACCTTGACAAAGTATTCAACAGCACTCTTGGCCACATCGAGGAGAGTGGGTCTACCACCCATGTAGACCCTCTGGTTCATCGAGGCTGATGTATCAATGAGAAAGACTATAATGGTCATGTTGGTTTAGGCTTCTCTTTCAAGAACCAAATTCTCTGTTCTCCTCCTCCTCCTCCTGTAGCTCTGGCTCCAGAACTCAGAGTCAGACTTCCTAGCTGCTCCAGGAAGGAACAACGACACAGCAAGCGGCTACCTGCCGTTGCTGGACATCATCGTTCTCATCATCATTGTGATCATCGTCCCCTGTGCTGTTGGCCTCGCGCCGGCGTGGCGCACACTCGCTGCTACCGACTCCTTGCCCATCCGACGACGTTCTCTCTTGCTCTGTCTTATCTATCTATGAAACCCTCCTCCACCTCCTCTTCTTCCTCCCGCCCACCCCCTCCTTCTCCTCCTCCTCCTCCCACGGATTCACACAGATACGAAACAACAGAGAAGACGTAACAGTGCGAGCAGTGGTAGAGGTACTGATGATAACAGTGGCAGTCGTCCTCCAGGACGTCGTCGTCGCGGTTGCGACGGCCCCTAGGAGCCCGTGCTCCCAGATTTAGCCTCTTCGAGAGAGATAGAGCGTCCTCTAGGCTTTCGTTCAGCTCCCTCCCTCCACCCTTTCTGCTGCTACTACTACTACTGCTCTGCTCCTTTTTTTCTTTTTAACAATGCAATATCCCTCTCTTTCGGAGTTTCGGCTGAACGTACGTATACATACGTATACAGACGTGCAGTCGTGCAGGTACGAGAGCTTGCATACACAGCGAAAGGCCGCAGCCCCGCGCGCTCTGGAGCAATAGCTGCAGCCAGCAAAGTCTGTAGATATAGATATATAACCACCTAACACGCAGCACCACAACCACACGTAACTATAATACACAACAACACGTTTCTTCTCGTGCTCGCTCGCGCCTCGCACGCAACGAGAGCAAGAGAGAACATTTAGCTCAGCAGAGCACAACACACCAATCCGTTTATCCGTCTGCTACGTAATATACGTACACGAACACACACCGATGTAAACGCACGCGCGCGCGACACTATATAGTGATAGGCTGGAAGTTAACTGCACACTCAACCTCTTCACCGTCGGCTTCTGTCTCTTTCGCACTAGTTCCTCAGGTTCAGCTATCGTCACTTGTAGGTCTGTCCTGCTCGCTCGCTTTCCTAACCTCTTCTTACGCTGCGATGGACCGTTGCGGGCTGTCCCGAATATATATATGTATATACATGTATGTGACTTTGGCGTGTGTGTTTATACATATAGGCGTATGTATACGTATGTAACGGCTATCCTTTTACCATACATGTATATACAGTGCGAGACAACGTGCTCGCGCGGAGTCAGCGGTAGAAATGCCGCCGCCCGCCGCGCGGCAGCTGGTTCTTCTAGTGCTTCTCGCTCTCGCCAGTCTCGGCCCGTAAGTTGGCGCTGTTGTTAATGTTCTATATAAATACCAAATGTACCAATGTAATTTTGTAGCCGCCTAAGCCGCCTTTGCGCCGCTACCGCCGCCGCCACTGCAGTGGCATGCCAAGCAGAGAGTGGCAGACTTGTACACCATGTCATTTGCCATGCAAGCGTGCTTGCTACGGTGCCATGGTGCCACACTGCCACAACTGCCAATGTTCCTATACCTACTCTGTAGCTGTACTGTACTACTGTTACTGTGCAAGTGTGCGCCATAAATATAACCACATATGTGTGTGTGTGTGTTCCTTTCATAGCCGCATGTTTCGAGTTCATTTCGCTTGGATTTCGGATATTCGGACACATTAAGTACGGAGATTCTCTCCACACCGGCACCCGGCACCACCACCCCTCTCTTGCTCTCTTTTCTTTGCGCGTGTGGTGCGTACTTGCGTACTTGGTGCTGATTGCTGATATGTTGTTGCAAGAAAGAGATGAGAAGTGCGAAAAAAAGTTTCGTTATGGGTCTCTTTTTTACACGCGTACGCCTTGTAACCGCCGAATCGCGATCGTGTGAAATGTTGTGTAGAAAAGCGAAGAGGCGGGGAAGTAGTATACGCGAGAGAGGGAAAGCTTTTTGATGAACCTAACCTCTCTTGCCATTTAGAGCTTTTCGAGGTCTGCTGTTGATGACGAGGCAGATGGGTATGTGGGTGCTTTGAAAGCTCAGGATTGGCTCTGCACTACATGATTATAGAGGTCAAGATTTACTAATCCTCATTCATGTATCCCTCACTCACAAAAGCTCGGAGCTTCTTCAACTATGGCGCTTTTTTCAGGTTTACATGGACTTATAGAAAATGCTTAGAGGACGTCAATGCAGGGAAGAGATCTTTGCAAATGCCTTTCGCTATTATTATCGTAATGATACTAAATGATGCGCCTCCAATTGCAAGGGGAACTCTACCTCGTTTTTGTTCTATTACAGGTACAGTTGCACGGATGGCTTCTTAGCTCAGTTCCGGATACCTGTCACGAAATGAACTCCAGTAATCCGCCATACTAGGACGTTCACGTTTTACGCTTTACGCGTGGGCTTGACTCCATTTGATGTTTAGAGAAACTTCACGAGAGCTTCACTAATATGCCGAGGTAGCGACCTAGCGACTAAATAGTTAATGTTCACCAAAAGAGCTAGTTCAGATGCTGGACTTATCCGAGGATATTGTTCTCATATATTTATGAGAACTACCTAAGAATAAGGATTGCATATTTAGGGAAAAAAAAAACTATAAGGATTTTATTTTAGGCCAGGGACCAGGGGGGTTAGTCATGAACAGTGACACGCGAAACACGTATACACAATTACCCACACGGCAGTGTGTATATGTATATATATATATATATATATATATATGTATNCTATGGATGTATATATATAATATGTGCCACGGAGAAATAGAGAGAGAAAGAGCACCCATTTGTCTGCGAGATGGTTTGGCTTCCTTTCTTTCTCTTTTCCTCTTTGATGGTATTTCTATAGATTTCCCCCTCTCTCTCTCTCCTCTTTCGCTGAGAGAATAGATGGTGCCTGTGTGTACATGTACACTTGTATTTGGTTGTTTGTATTTAATTTGGTTTATTGGTTACTTATACTTACCAAATTACTGCGTTGTACATACATACATGAATTTATACATATTTATATTATGTACATACAAGTTTCTCTCTGATATCAAGTTCTCTTACCTTTATCAGGGCAGGCCTAGGTCAATCTATATACATTTCTATACATATATGTGTGCAAAAGAGCAAACAAGACAGGCTGATCGCTCATCATTGAGCAGTTGGACACTCTTACATATTGTATTGCATAAATATGAGCAATTCTACGAAAAATCACCAGCTGGAAGCAATATTTTTTATAAAATTGTTTGATGAATGCAATTAATTTTAGTCAGCATTAACTTTTTTTTAATAAGTGCAAACAAAAAATCTAGAAAAATAAACTTTCTCTTTTTTTTATCTCCCTTCTTCGCAGTGCAACACGAGATTTCGCGCATGGCACAGGCAAAGAGAACTTGCAAGCAAAGTTTGTTGAAAGCTCAGTGTACACGCGTTGTACTATTTAATGAAATATTTTAACTTATAAGAATTTCTTACCATCTTCACAGATTGTAGATTTTTGTTTTTTGTTTTTTTTTTCAAAAGAGATGAAACGGCTATACCTACATACAAGGACAGGATAAAGTAAAGTACATCGATCGAGCTTTCAAATAAGACTTGTAGACTAAAAAAATTAAGTTCAGATCAAAGGCTGATTGTGGTTTCACATTGGCATTTGAAATTGCAATTGTTGCGCCTTTAATATTACATTCGATTTTTATATTAATCGACTCAACAAGTCTTATTTGAAAGCTCGATTATCATCTGAAAAAAAGTAGGTCACGACCATTTTTCCGATTTATCGCATTTTCTTGTTCACGAAAAAAAAAAAAAAAAAAAAAAAAAAAAAGTCTCGTGCAAAAAACCTTCATTTTGTGTCCTCTCACTGGCAAATTTTTTGCGGAATCGCTCGAGTATGTAAGTATATTTTGACGCCGTCACAAAAAATTCGTACTCACTAACAACTCCCTCCCTCTCTCTCTCTCTCTTGAACTCTTTTTTGCTCTTAAGGCTGACGTTATACGTATATACACACAATACTAGACTCCACAGGACGTGTTAAATGGACATTGTTCGTCAACGCCGAGCTTTACGCTAAAAGGCTTGGAATTGTACACTATACTACTGTTGTACTTTTTTACTCGATAAACGTGTATTTTCCACACACGCCCGCGACCAGAAGAGAACAAAAGTTATGTACATAGAGTCGTAGTCTTGCACTTTTTCTTCTCATATATATACGTGCTCTCTGGCAGCGTTGCCGCTGTAAGGTTGTTGTACAAAGAGTGAGAAAGAAAAAGAAACGCGTTGGTCGCCCTTTTTTTTCTTCTTCACGTTTGGCATGCCTGTTTTTTCTCTTCCTTTATATTTATTGTATGCTCGTAATTTTTTTGCACCCACACCTGCAAACGTGCCATAGTCCCGATTTTGTCACTCACTTCAGTTATCTCGAGTAATCTATATAAATAGGCTTTTTTTTCTTCTATATTATCAAAGGCACGTCTCCAACATAAGTAGTCGTTGTTCGCGTAATTGATTCCATTGACGAGCTATCGCCTACAATACTACTTTTTATAAAATTCGAGATTTTTCATAATCATCTATTTTAAATTTAATTTGTCAGATTAGAAGAGCGGATCAATTGCGGAAGGTATACAGCCGAAGATATAGTGCTAGCATTTATATGTATACTTACCAGGAGAGATACTTACAGTATGTTCATTTAAGACGTGCGAGCGATGTCATCGATTGTCATTGAAATAAAGGAATTTTGGGGGGTGACAACATTGCGGTCAAAGCTCCGTGGCACTTGCCTATAAAACAATATTATATACGAATGTGCCACTCGTGATGTATGGAAATGCAGGGACATGTACAGAAAAATCAAGGGGATGATTGAAAAAAGCTTGGGCAACACAGTATCCCGTTAACGTTAACGTTTCAAACGAGTCAACTATTTTGCGTTTCCTCTTTTTTTTTGTGAGCCAAGTACCTGCGCGTGTATATAAACACCCACGTAACGTACATACTTTTGCCTTTTCTTCTTCATCATCATGTTCAGCCGCGTGTAAACGATCTCTTCCCTGGAATTTTTTTTTTTTTTTTTTTTTTTTTTTCTCTTTTTTTGAACGCCTGTGCGTATACACCGCGTTCCGAGGCGCAAGAAACCATCTTTTGTCCTTCTCTCGCGTGATATCGCGTGAAAAAAGCATCCACGTTATCGTTTTTGTGTGTTAATTATCTCCGTGTTCCTTGGTGCTTCTCTGCCGTTTAAACCGAAACTTCATAGTGAACTCGTGTGTATTTTTTTCGAAGTTTATTTGATCAATTGACCAGTAACGTGACCTTTGTATATCAGGGAAATTACAAAATTTCAACTATACATGACGTATAATTTAATTTTGCGTTAACTTAAAGCAAATACAATGTTTCGTCAAGTTACTTCATTCGAAAAAAGGATAACAATAGCAATCACTTATTACCATTTTGAAGCTTAATGCGGAGGAAAGAAAATCCTGGTGATGTTGTACCATTTACTTCACAAGACATTAAATCATTGTTTCTCTATGCCTCTATGGATGTATTGTTCAAACAAAGGCGATGCTCGTCAATATTGTGTTTTTGTTAATTATTTTACGTTTCTTTCCTCGTATCGTACACTCGTAACTTTCGTAGCTGTTTGCCGTCCTTATCTGTTTAAGTGTCCTCTTTCTCGTATAAATTTGCCACGACACCACTGAAAATTTTTTGACGACCATAGTTACGTGAATCTGTTTTAATTGTTTTGAGAGACAGAGAGAGAGAGAGAGAGAGAGAGAGAGGGACTATAACTATTTTTAAAGCGAAGGCGAAGCCAATCGTGTGTTTTGATTCGGACGAGTTGGTGTGTAAGCGACGTGTACTTATAGTTATATACCGAGAAGCGAAAAAATAAAATTGGGCCTTTCACTTCAGGATTCCCAAGAGTCACTGTGGACAACCGAGTAAGAAAAACTATTACTTATTTTTCTTCATTTTCTCCTCCTTGTGCTTATATAGTTACTACGAAACTCTCCTCTTTACTTTAACCTCTTGTACTTAATACCTTTTTTCTTAAAGTTTTATTTGGTTGGTTGCAATTGGTATGGATGTTTGCAGTCAGGGATCGAGGGACTGTGTTGCAGAATAAAAAAAAAAAAACAAATAAATAAACAAACAAACAAAAGAAAAATCAATGAGATAAGGTAATCGAGTCGTGTCTCCAAAATATTTGTCGCCTTTTTTGTATTATTATTATCTTTACAACAACACCCTGGATAACAATCGAGATAAAAAAAAAATAAAAAAAAAATAAATTGGAAAAAATATACTCCATCTCCGATTTTTCACGAAAGTGACGTGATGTTTGCCATTATGAAACGGAACGTGCTATTTTTACAAAAATCACTGCATATCGCAAAAAAAAAAAAAAAAAAAAAGGAACAAGCTTCTAGTCTTTCTTGCGACTGCAATCATTTTTCCATCCTCCCTGTTCACTTGGAGTAATTAAATATTCCAAAGGAAACACGGAACAAGATGTCGTACAGAAAGATGCTCCATACATGAGAGAATGAAAACACATTTTTTTTTTAAATCCAAAATTAAAGTACGCGACGTAATTTTAGCCCCGAATCTTCTTAAATTCCAATAAAACTAGGTCACGTGCGATTTCTACCGCCACTCGGTTGTTTAGCTACTGTATTACGTGTGTATGCCTATACAAACACACACACACACACACACGACGTGCGTTAACAAAATACATCGATGCAGTGTGCAGCAGCAGCGAGTGCGCCGATGAATTATCTCCTCTGCTTCGAAGCGAAGTTGAGCTACTTAATGTGCTGGTGCCGTGCAAAAGCGTTGGGATTGCACACAAGCTCGGGAAGAGCGAAATAAAATTAAATGCGTATAACTATTTTACAGCCCGACGCGAAAAAATCTGCCAAGTATACGCAGTAAAGTCGGCGAAGAAAAATCCGGGAGTATACGGGGTGAAAGTTTTCCAAGCTGAACAATTTTTCCACTTTTCTCTACTCGGTTAATTTGCGATCGAACAAACCTACGATAATACATTGTAAACAGGGGAAAAACAAATAAGAACAAATTGGTTTCGTTTCGTACGAAAATTCCACTTTCTTTGTTTCGTCCACTTGGGTGTATACTCACCTGTACTTACATATTAACAAACACGCGTTTGTATGCCAAAGCATTTCTGGAATGATATAAATGAGAAAATTATGAAGAAAAAAAATCCATTTATTTTAAACGTGTCAACAAAGTTCGTAGAATATATTTTTGTGAAGCGTACAATTTTATCAAAACGTTGCATGATGATTCACGAGTCGACGCTACACAACCCCGGGGTAAGTATACATATACATACACTACTATTTGTTGCAATGATGCATCGCTCGTTCGTGAAAAAACATTTACCTTGAAAATGGGTCGTGTGTGTATACATATATATATATATAAATATATATACCTTGGTAAAATCGCGCGTGAGATTCACAATTTAATCGAACGCCGGCCCAAACGTACAATTAGCACTCGATAATATATCGACACGTGTAATTATACCACCCATGTGTGACGTATTGCGCGTTGTAGGGACCAATTTGAGGGAGCTCTCTGGCTTGTGAAACAAAAAATTTTCTTCGCAGCGGCGATATTGGGTCTAATCGCCTCTAGAACGTTTGGGTTTTTTTTTCTTTCTACAGCTGATAGACTCTTTAGATAGAACAGCAAGAATAACATAAAGGTACGTATATTGTGTCAGCACATCGAATCTTTTTGATAACTTGAATGCCATACATCATTTTTTGTGATCGAGTCACGAACACATCACCGATGTATACAATCGTAGCTGAAATATTCGTGTTTGCACTTACGAAGGTAGTTGAGAGAGAGAGAGAGAGAGAGAGAGAGAGAGAGAGAGAGAGCAGGTGTTGGAGCGACGAAAGTTGACAAAGATTTTTGTAGCTCGTGATATACACGTCACGAATGATAAAAAAAAAAAAAAATAATAAAAAAAACTTAAACTGTTTCGACGTCAACTTGGGTATACTGAAGCATTTAGAATGATGTCATCCACGAGGTACGCATTTATTCTCTTGATGTACCCGGTAAAACAGCGATACGCGCACTTGATGAAAAATTTTTCCTCCCGTGTGGGTAACATGTGCGTATACTTACTTTCAAATTGTCATTAGAGAAATTTGCAAGAGCCTTCGTAAATTGATGTCGCGTAGCTATAATATGTATGTAGGTTGTACGTACATCGCGTGTAAAAAACTTCAAACTCCACACAAGCTACAATATGATTGTAGGTGCTTTGAGATTATTGAGTTTTTAATTATAAAAAAAAAAAAAAAAAAAAAAAAAAAGTTACCGATTACATTTTATGTACAGTAGTATTTATATACGAACGATTATTCGTCATCGTTACAACTCATATGTTAAACGAAACATCAAGCACTTACCATTTTTTCTATAAAAAAAATAATAAATAAAATAAGAAAAAAAATATCCTTGACCATCCCACCAAGCAAAACAACTCTAATACGTATAAGATGCGCATGTTGCTAATACACACACCTCTGTAAAAACACATCCAACATGCGAAACGAGTATAAAATTTCCCCTTCCTCCAATAAGACTTGAACGTGTCTCCTCTTCTTGTCTTCCAATACACATACCTATATATATGTATAAACGCTATGTGTATACATTTATAGTGACGAATGACGATTTAACGATATATATTGTACAAAGAAACACACAGCGTCGCAAAAGTCTCATATGCTATAATATTAGTATATGTGATCGCACACCGCCATATTATGTGCACGCCAACATCTTCACAAGATGACTGTAATGAGTATAATGTATGTACATATATGTGACTCTTTATTTTCTTGTATATAGGCTGGTTACTATACGTGTACCACAGTAGTGTTTCCGTGTGGCGACTGCGTCTCGGTTTCTTTCTCTCTTTTTTTTTTTAATTCTTATTTTTAAGCGATCACCTCTCTTGTCTATACTGACGAATCCATGGGGAGGTTGTTCGTGCAAGTGTGGATGGGATCTCTCTTGTTTCTTATATTTGTTGCACGACTCCCTTATTTTCCACTTGTTTTCCAGACCAATGAGATTATTATACATCGCAAACAACTGGGATGTTTTAAATGACGGTTTTAAAATAACAATTTTTGTTTTTTTGTTTTTCGCCAAAGTATTGAGCTTTCAACCTTAATTAGAGTAAAAATATTAACATACCGATCGTTAAATACACCAATGTGCTGCAATGGATTTTAATTATGCACTGCTATGCCCATAATGTAATGAGATTTAATTTTCTGCCCAACTACAGTTCATTTCATAGATCATCCATTATATCCGTTTACTCCGTTACGAAAAGAGAAAATAAACCTGCGGCAAAATTGATGAAAATGTAATGAAACATAATTAGTGCTCGAAGATTTTTACTCGATTATAAAGTGCTCATTTTTATATCAATTTATCATTATCAGAATTTACTATTCCGGATGGAGAGTTTTAAATATAAATTGCAGAATAATAATTAAAAGTATACATACATCTCACTGCCATCGTGTAGTTTGATGACCACACTGTATCAGCAAAATAATCATGAATTGATCAATATAATGGTAAAAAAAAAGATCACAATAACTGTGTAGTTGTTTCTTCAAGCTTCACTGCTAATAGTTGCGAATCTTAGACTTTTTTAGAATCTCACTTTATTTTAAGCACGATTTTTTGTTTCAAAAGTTTTGTTTAAAAAGCGCTTACGAGAGCTTCATTTTCGATTTAACAATCTTATAATTTTAAGTATTTTTTGTTTTTTTTTGTTTTTTTTTTTGTTTTTTATATAAAAATTACAATTTTAAAATATGTCAAACAATAATACTTCTATGTACTAATAATAATAATAAAATTTTAATCGTTTGAGAACCACGTGATAAGGTAACCAAAACCTTAAACGCAGCCTTCCATATTTATATACTTTCTTGTGATTCCTCTCAACTTTTACAACTCGAATTGATTTTACCAATAACTATTCATGCATGATTTTAATTAATTTATTACCATCTGTAGCGAGTGCAAAAATTACATTGATTTTGCTGATACCCTGTACGTTTATGTTACATGGATACTACCGTGGATGGTACAGCAGAAAGTTTAGTTAGCTACAGAAAATAATAGATAAGACCAACCAAAAAGGTGTAAGTTAAATTTAAATGATGCGAGCTTTAACGATTTTTTGTCTAATTATAATAAGTATAGGTAAATAAGGTATAATTTTTGTTATGTAATTCACGCAGTTCTTTCGAAATTCATAGTTAAAGTAAAAATGACTATTAGAAAATAAACTGCAAAACTACGCTAGAGTCGGCTAGAGTCACGTTATCTGATTATTTATCAAGTTTGAAAAATAATTGAAACAAATTCAAAATACATTGACAAGTTAAGAACGAATTTTTCTGGGAATTCATTGTTCCGACGAACATAAAAACTCATGGCTCATACTCGACAACCGGTTGATTGACATAGCTGATTGGAATGTAAAAAAAAAAAAAAAAAAAAAAAATGACAAGCTACCAGAGATCTGGTGAAAAAAAATCAAATGCGCACTTTTCCGGGTTCTAAGCGATGTTACTAGTGTAATAATAACAACAACACAACTTGCTCCGTATAGAGCCTCTTTAATTTGAACCATAGGTAGTCGTTCGCAAGATCTTGTGCGAGGAGATACAAGAGAGAAATTGATGCTCCTCCGAACGCCCGACTTTGCGTATCGGAATTTAATTCAATAAACGTCGTCGCCGTCGTCGTCGTCGTTGTATACGACGTTGCCGACTCCCATCTTCTCTCGTTCGCTCTCTCCTATCCGGCGTCTACTTATCATTTGTCAGCGATGAAAGCTTTTTGTGTGCTAATGTGCCTAGGGCTTCCTGTTTTAGCTTTTGTAAGTGTACAGGTATTACATAAATAATCATGTGTTGTGTGCGTCTGTAACTATTTTCTTTTTTTTTTTTCTTCTTTTATAAATCATAGCGTTCAGATATTTTTTAATGCTTGTGTTAATGTTATTTTGTGATTTAAACAAAGGGCAGTTTGTCGAGCTCGGTCGATGATATTTTGCACATGTACGAGAAAGACTGCGCGCAAAAGACTGGAACCAACAGTTGTAAGCAATTATTGATTGATATTTAATTACTTCATTGATCATCAATAAATAATAAAAGTTATTTGTTTTTCGCTAAATAGCATCGATTGAGCTTGCAAGGAAACATAGGAAAATTCCAGACAATGGAGAATTGGATTTATTTGCAGTTTGTATGTTGAAGAAATTTAATATTGTAAGTATTTTTTTTCTTCAATTCGGCTTAGTGTGAGAATTTGTAAGGAATGTCTGTTTTTTTATTTTATACAGATGGATAAGGAGGGCAACGTTCAAAATCAAGCGTACAAAATATTTAGCGACAACGTTTATATCTCTCAAATATCAGACAAATGCAAAGTAATGCGTGAGTATAAGTTTAAGTTTTCGTACAAAATAAAAATTACAATTTTTTGGTATGATAATTTTTATATGTTTACACCACTAAAGGTGGTCAAGACGTCGGTGAAACTGCACGGAAAATAATGAACTGTTTTCAACAGGCAAACGAAATTATGCTGGCTCTGAAGTCTTGGCCAAATAAAGACACAGGATATATTTTTAATACTTAAAAATCAATTTAAAATTGATTAAAAAATAACATTTATTTATTTGTATTGACATTTCTTTTTGAGACTGGTAATTATATTAATTGAAATATAATTAGTCTGTGACGGATATTTAAAAAAAAATTAAGATTCACGAGAAATTATATTTTTTTTTAAACAAATTAGTTATATTTTTTCATTGAAAATTTGTAAAATTTTTAATTGTTTAAAATAA